TCCCTCCTCGTCTCTATCACCTTCCTTCCTTCCTTCCTTCCTTCCTTCCTTCCTTCCTTCCTTCCTTCCTTCTTTCCTTCCTTCCTTCCTTCCTTCCCTTCCCTTCCCTTCCCTTCCCTTCCCTTCCCTTCCCTTCCTTCTTTCCTTCCTTCTCTCTTGACATCTTCCTTCCTTCCCTCCTCGTCTCTATCACCTTCCTTCCTTCCTTCCTTACTTCCTTACTTACTTACTTACTTACTTACTTACCTTCTTTCCTTCCTTCTCTCTGACATCTTCCTTCCTTCCCTCCTCCTCTCTATCACCTTCCTTCCTTCCTTTTCCCCCATACCAAGAACCAGCACAGCTTTTTAAGAGTAGAAGAGAAAACAAGCCCATTCCTTCCTTTTCCGTATTTCACGATGGATATTTCAGAGGACTAATCCATAGCTTATCTGTGGCCATCCAAACACTTGAAATCAATGACTTGTTTATCATCACAGTTGACCTCATAAATGTTACAAACCATCTGGAGTTTTGTTATTCATCCATGGAATGAACGAAATTCACCTGGGAGTTAATCTGGTTTGAGCCCGTGAGAAGAACAGGTGGTCCTCAATGTACGACAGTTCATTTAGTGACCGTTTGAAGTGGCTTAAGATCAGCCTTGCCTTAAGGACCGTCCCCGCAGCCACAGCACGGTGAGTCTGGTGCTTGGCACCCGTTCATGACGGTGGCAGCGTCTGGGTCACCCATTTGCAACCTTCCCAGCCGGCTTCCCGTAAGCAAAGCCACTGGAGAAGCCAGCAGGGAAGGTTGCAAATCACAATCCCATAATGTCTCACTTAATGACTGTGGTGATTCATTTAACAACTGTGATCCAAAAGGTCATAAAACTCGGTGCGGTCATGTCATGTCTCACTTAACAACCATGCCATTTAACAATGAATTTTCCAGCCCCATTGTGTTCATAAGTGCCGTCCTTTTCGAGGCCGGTAAAATGAGGACCCAGATTGTTGGGTTGACTCTATAAACTGCTTAGAGAAGGCTGTAAAGCCCTGCGAAAGCGGGATAGAACAGGGGTCTCCAACCTTGGCCACTTTAAGACTTATGGACTTCAACTCCCAGAGTTCCTCAGCCAGCAAAGCTGGCTGAGGAACTCTGGGAGTTGAAGTCCACAAGTCTTAAAGTGGCCAAGGTTGGAGACCCCTGGTATAGAAGTCTAAGGGCTATTGCTATTACCTGTACCAGAACTAATGTATGCTTCTCTGTGCTGGATTGTGGGTATGAAGTATGCCCTTAGTAGTCCTAAGTGAGTAATGATCAGCCCTTCCTCACTTTTGATCCCCAACACTCCCATAGCTTGGCTTCCACTTCGATAGAAGCAAATTGTGGTGAAGAGAAGACAGAACAACCTTCTGTTTCCTTACAGCCAACATCTGAGGGGCTGCCCCAAAGAAAAGGGAGTCAACCCATTCTCCAAAGCACCAGAAGGCAGGAGAAGAAGCAATGGATGGAAACTAATCAAGGAGAAGAAGCAATGGATGGAAACTAATCAAGGAGAAGAAGCAACCTAGAACTAAGGAGACATTTCCTGAAGTGACAAAGGGTTGGACTAGAACAGGGGTGCCAACTCAAGTCCCGGGGGGACGGATCTGCCCCGCAGGGTGCTTAGATCTGGCCTGCAGGGACACCCCGGAAACAGCGAAGGACCGGCCAGCGGTGTCTCTGCCAATCAAAATGGAGCTTGGGGAGGAGGCATGTGCGAGACCTTCCCAAGGTCTGTTTTCACTGGCCGAGGATTGCAGGAAGCCGTCGCAGCCGAAAACGGAGCTTGGGAGTCCGTTTTCACTGGCAGAATGCTTGGACCACGACAGGCGCCCCTGACATAAGTGATGTCGAGCTGGCCACGCCCCCCCCTGCCCCCCCCAAGGTCAAACTCAACCCTGATGTGGCCCTCAATGAAATCAAGTTTGACACCCCTGGGCTAGAAGATATCCAAGGATCTCTTCCAACTCTGTTAAATATGAGGGTCTGTAACTTCAGGATCACGGGCCAATCATAGCCACTATTGTGTGGTAGATCTTGGAGATCTGAAAGAGCAACAACAATTGAGCCATTATTCTAAACAGGTTTCCCCAACCTGAAAGTCCTCAGACTAGAGCAGAGGTCGCCAAACTTTAAGACTTGTGGACTTCAACTCTCAGAATTCTGGGAGTTGAAGTCCACAAGTCTTAAAAGTTGCCAAGTTTGGGGACCCCTGGACTAGAGAATAGAAATACGTTCTTTCTATAGGAATAATTAAATAAGATGATATGTCTGAAACAGCGAATGAACTAAGAGTAATGGGGAAATGGATTCCAGTTACCAGGGAACTGTCTTGTTTTTTAAAAAAGGAGGTTGGGAAACTGAGGCAGACTACTCAGGGTCAGCACTGGTGTTTTGTACAAACAGGAGAAACCAAGTGGAAGGGCTGGAGAGAGCTTGACAGACGACTCGGCCGTCCAGCCTGAACTTCAGTGACTGGATACGGACTAGCAAGAGGCGTCCTTTGGAAACGTGCCTGAGTTATACACTTCAGAGAGATCATTGTTCCTGCCACTGCTGGCGACAGAGAACTGCACCAGATCAGTTGCCAGGCTGAGCCCATCAAGCAACCGAGCTGTTCTTTTTTGCATCGGGCCTGTTACAAAAACAACAGGATTAGAAGTGTCGACAGATCCGAGGTGGCATTTCCACGGGCGGAGTCATCCCTACCATCAAGTAGAAACGGATCGTCGCTGCTTTCTTTCCCGTTGTAGAAACGGAGGGCTTAAGATTCAAAAGTAGCAGGAGCAGAGAGGCGGGATTGTAAAAATCTCTGGGGGTTGCAGGGTGGAGTTTGCTTTCTTGGACACAGATACCAGGAAGTCCTTGACTCGAAACAGTTCATTTAGCAACTGTCTGAAGTTACAATGGCGCTGAAAAAAAGTGACTTGTGACCGTTTTTCACACTTACGACCGTTGCAGCATCCCCAAGGTCATGTGATCAAAATTCAGACGCTTGGCCACTGATTTGTGACTGTTGCGGTGTCCTGGAATCCCCTTTTGCAGGGGTCCCCAAACTTGCTGGCTGAGGAATTCTGGGAGTTGAAGTCCACAAGTCTTCAAGTTGCCAAGTTTGGGGACCCTTTTGCAATCTTCTGACGAGCAACGTTCAATGGTTCACTTAGCAACTGCGTCACTAAGTTAAGAACTGCCGTCATTCATTTAATGAAGGTTGGCAAGAGAAGTCATCAAATGGGGCAAACCTCACTTCACAACTGTCTTGCTTATCAACAGAAATGTCGGGTTCATTTGTGGTCGTAGGTTAAGGACTACCTGTATGAGAAGTTCTCCGTGTTTGACCTAATGTTTCTCATTTCACGTGACATGAAACCCATCGTGGCTGGTTCAGAGTTCTTCACAAATGGAGACATGGAACCAGCCTTGGGGGCAACTGCCAAGTCTGACTGCCAAATCAGCTCCGTGCACATTTCTGTATTCACACTTTTGTACTGTAGAGCAGGGGTCTCCAACCTTGGCAACTTTAAGCCTGGCGGACTTCAACTCCCAGAATTCCCCAGCCAGCTTTGCTGGCTGGGGA